AGTCTCTCAGTCCTGTGACCACATGACAGAGCTACAGCAGTAAAGAGCCTTTATATTGCTCTAACTGCTTAATAAATTGAATGTATATCAATGTAATTTATGCTAAGACTGCTAGTCTTTCAGAAGGGAGCTGCAGAGCACAACATAACTGAGCTAGCACACACAGTGGACTTTTCATCATGGTCTTTTTGGAGTGACGATAAAATGAGCATGAAAAAGCCCCCCAACTTTACAAACCCAAGCAAAGAACACCTTCTTCCCCTACCAACTAATGCAAATGGAACTAGGAAATGCAAATCCTATACAAGAAACTCTTTCAGACTTGAGCACAGGGCAGACCTTCATTCTGAGCACAGGAATCACCACACAGAGCATGCACTGTGTGTTGCGTGCAGAAGTCATTCAGTAAAATGGGATTTGTCTCTTCATCATTGCTCATAGCTTTGCTTGTGATTAGCCCTCACCATTCACACACACATTCAGGTCCTTTCGTATGCTCACATCTTCTTAATTAGGAACATTTTTAACTGTTGTAGTACTGAAATCAGGTGAATAGTTTTCTTTTTTTCTCTCCCATTTGCTGCATTAGGACTGGCTCCTGCTCAATTTCAGTTTGCACTAGGGAACCTACTGGAAGTCTCTCTCACAGATGATCAACAGCATATAATTATTTTCTGCATGCTAGAATCTTGCTTAGATCATGCTTATCTCCTTTTTTTCATCCAAATTTAAATTTCATCTAAGTGGTATGACTAAATTGCTCATCAATAGCACCTTAGAGAGGAACATTCATACCACTTCACTGCCCTGATCAGGATTTAACCATGGTAGATGATTTAAGTGTAATGATAAACTATAAATCTGTGATTCTAAGACAGAACCTGGATTCTTGCTGAGAAGCTCCTCTTTCAGGATGCTAAATTCCTTCAGTTTCTATAAGGAAGCTCTTCAAGTTACCCAATTTCTCCTCTGCAGGGCACATTAGTGGATATATCTAAACCACGGGGTTTAGTTGTAATTTCTTACAGAGTTGTTGTAAGGAAAGAAATTTACTTTTTCTCTCTAGAGAGAGGCAATGGCACACCAGGATTATTAGAAACTTATGCCATCATATTACCTGCACGTACAGATACCTCCCCTTTTGACTATAAAATGCTGCTTTGTGTTAGTAGCAACAGCCATACCAGCCAGGAGATGAGACTACAAACAACTTTCTCTCTAAGAAACCCGCTTTCCTATGAGAAGTGTGTGCCCTACAGTTTGGTAGATTGATAACCTGAACAGTCTGCCTTAGCATCTGAAAGAGTAATCATATTTTTAAACACCTTTCAATTTCCTTCACTAAATAAGCATACAGTAAAGCTGCAAAACCCTCACCTACTTCGAACAAAGAGCAACCCTGTAGCACTCAAACTCTCCTTCAGACTCATGCCCTGTGCTGACTCCTGCAAAACAGCAAAATAGCTCATCATCTTCCTTTCCAGTTACAGCTCCCTCCCCACAAACACACTATTTTATTCATCAGTACCTGAATATCCAAATGCCAAGAGTGACTGCTTAGAATCACAGAAACATTTAGGTTGGAAAAGAACTCTAAGATCACCGAGTCCAACCATAAACCTAACCCTGCCAAGTCTTGTTCAATACTCTGCTTGTTCAGTACTGGCTAAAACAAGTGGGCACTGCATGTAAAGTAATGTTTGAGCTGTGATTAAAAAAAAATGCACAGAATTCTCAAGAGCAAAGGAGGCACAGTGATAAAACTATTATTGTGATTTAAAAACCAGAGGAAATCTGGTAGGCATCTTTCTTGTACACAAGGAAAGAGAGTGCCCACTGCAAGGAACCTATCAGCAAGGCAGAGCAGTAATACTAGAAGAAACAGAAACAGAAGCCTCCAGAGGTGTGCAGTGAAACCTGGCTCAGTGACACACAGAGAACATTTCTTGGCTCCCAGGTCCAGCAATCTGCTGCTTTGGATTCCTGAAACCAACTTCACCCTTCACTAAACTAATTTGAAAAGGTCTCTATTTAGGGGGTGGGGTTTTTTATATTAAAAAAACTTCCTATCTTTGTATGCTTTGGAACATTGAAACACTTGGAAAGAACAAGTTTTCATTTCACTAGACCAGAAATACCTCGAGGTATGTTAACAAATACTTCAAAAAGAAAGACAAAGTGTCTTTCATTAACAGCCTCATTTTCAAACCTAAACAACTTCAGATGAATGCCTGAACTTTTACACCACCAAATCATGTTCCACACTGGCTTTTGGCTATTGCTGGTTTCTCTAGAGTGTGGTTGGGAACTCACAGTTAAACTTCTCCTTTAGAACTAAGGGTAATAATACTATAAATATAATCATATAGCATAATAATGTCTGACTGCTTAATTTTCCTGTTGAATATATGTCTTGGATTTTAGAATTGGAAGAGATTTACTAAAATTACAGAAAACAATCAGCAGAGTTAGTTACAATTTCAACCATCAAAGGCATGAAGGATGTTACAGCTGTCAGCAAGTTATAAAAGCGCATCTTATTTGAAGCCTTTAGCTCCAAGTCATTTAAATGTCACCAGAGAAAGGCTCTTATTCTGCAAACCAAGATAGCATCACCCACAGCTGGCTCTGCACTGGATGCTGTCAGCTGTCAGACTCTGCTGACCTGTAGCTCTTGGGTTAACTGAACATTATGTACAGCTGTTGTCTCCGTTGTTCCATTCTGCTGGATCAGTTACATGTGACAACAGGAGTGACACTTCTTCACATCTACATGAAGTATTATTTCATTGACAACAACTTGATTCCTTTGGGTACTCAAGATTCTTACAGGAAGCACCTCCCGAGGAAAAATTCCTATCACTCAACTTCATTTCAACCATCTGTCTGTGTTTTAAATTAATTATATTGACATCCATGCCACACTTGATGCACTTCAAACAATTTTGGGGCAAAAACTTCAAACCACCACCAACAAAAAAAGTATTTCAGCGTACCCTTCTTAAAAAGAATCCTTGAGAACTAATAATAAATGCAATGGCTTGAATCATTCCAGTATTATGTCAGTGTTTCCAGTGGTTTGTAACATGATTTGAATTAAATATGACTTAAAAAACAAGAATCAAGCACAGTTATTTCATTGTGAAAAGATACAAAACCTTACCACAAAACAAGAAAAATACCCAATTGGTTTTGATTTCAGTATTGGAAAGAAAGGGAGGGACATTTGCTGGTATAGTGGGATTGTTTTGCTTATGGCACCAGGAGCTAGCTTTGTGCTTTACAACTTTCTTGACATTCACTTGACCAACCAGCTGATCTCCTGTGCTGCTACTTCTGTTTCTTCTAAGGAGCTGCAGCAAAGCTCTCACATGCACTTTGTTCACCCTTATGTGGTGCCCTAAATGCCAGAATTATGTGGCATTGCAACTTTCCTCTATCAGTGACAAAACACCACTTCAAAAAAGTAGAGAAGAAGCAGCAAGTTTATGCTCTAAGATGTACCACAACTTCAGATGAAATGCATCCACCAAAGGGTAACTCAATTTGCAAAGCTCAAGTGATAGCAGTAACAGATCATGAAGGAAGCATTTATTACTGCTTTTAACAGTAAAAGTAGATCAGCATTCTTAGAAAAACTGGAAAAGTGAAAAACTGAGGTGGCAGAGGAGTACGAATATTCTGTGCTGAAGATGGAGTTTTTTTGTGTGAGTGGAGTGATTAAAAAGCACAGCACTAAGAAAACTCAACTTTTTCTAGCAGCTAAAATGGGTAAGCCACACAGGTAAGAAGCAAGAGAGAACATGCTGACCATGCTTCATGCTGATCTGCCTTATCTACCATGCTTGCTTTATAGGTACAGAAGGAAGAAAAGCTGCTATTTGATTCTGAGAGGTAACAGTAACTGATGAAGCTCTTATGACACCTCTGCAGCTCGATACACATTTTAATTCCAGATCCTTTCACCTACTTTCTTGCACAAGGTCTGTTTACTTGGGCCTCCTTTGCCAAGTGGTGAATCTCAAACATCATTAAAAAAAGGTTAAGGGTGGGGAAAGGAATCTGAAAAGTAGGAAATTAATCAAACACCTACGTGTCTTTCCTCCTTCTTTTATGAAATATGCTGGGTTTTTGATTATGTGCCACAAAGTGCTCACATAAATGTTACAATAAGGTCTCCCCCCACCTTGTAAGTCAGGGGTGGACTCTCCACTGCGTCACAGTATCAGTTCCTGAAGCTCATGACCAAATAATTAAAATCTGTATAAACATACCATAATACTAATACACTTTTGTATTGAAAATTTCCTTAATAATTATTACATATAAGGATTTAGAAATGTATCTCCTACTAAAAGACTGAATCAATTCCTCAAAAGGATTTAAGATTCTGTAGAAGAAAAATGTTCTCTCTCAAGTACAAAATCTTAAAAAACCCCACAGTAAAAAAACCTTAAAAAATCCCACAACAACTAGCATAAATCTTAGAAGTCTGTAAGTGATATAAACATGTATTACTTCACATGCACATCCTTCAATTAATTTGATTTTCAATAGCAAAAATTAAGAGCCTTGATCTAAACAGCATCTGTAAAAAAACCCAGCTATTAAGTTTCTTCTTTCTGAAAAAAAGATTATTAATATTTAACTGCCTATTTTCACTTTTCAAAGCCGCTCCTTCAGAATTAACACACAGGTAACTGAAGTTCTAGCCCACAACACTTACTTCCTTACTAAGCTAAGTGAAAATAATGACAAGGAGCCTTGGCTGTGAATCCTTCTGGCCCTGCGTTACTGCCCAGACACGGCTGCTCTCACCAGCCACACAACACAGCAGAGCTGCAAACAGTTCCCCTCTGGAAACTGCTACAAAGGCAGCACAGCTACAGTCTTGAGAAATCAATAGCCATGTAGCCAGAAGTGAGTGAAAAGTCTGCCTAAACATTGCCTAGCTCTATAAATAAACTTGTGTATGTTTTTTTTTTTTGAATGAGCCTTACCTGACACAGAGACTGCGTGTGACCTCACTCCTTGCTTCTCATTGTTGGCCAGCCTGTAAAACAGAGGTTGGAATCGCTGAATGCTGTACATTCTTCACGGTCACATACACTGGGAGTTCATCCTAACAGGGCACCTACTGTAATTAGCAGGGCTAATCCATTTCCCACAGTGACAGACTTTGAGGGGGAGAAAAGTCAGAAAGGAATCTACCATTTCAACCCCATCTGGGGGAGGGAGAGCGGAGAGAATGTGTTACCGGTTTAATTAGCATCTTGATTCACAATGACAGAGCAAATTTAAAGGAAAAAACAAAACCCAAGTTTTACAAACTTTTAAGATCAAGCTGTGCATGTCTAAACATTGTACATTATCTAATGGTGCTTCTACTTTCTGTATCATCTATTGGAAATAAAGCATGAATCGAGTTTTTGTCTGTAAGTTCACTTACCGTGGACAACAACTTAAAATTAATTTACATGTGAAGTAAATGAAGAAAAACAATTACATTCAAATGTAATTAGGTATAAATGCTGATGGTAAAGTAAATGTGAATTTTAATGGTGAGCACTGCACTTCAGGCTTTTGTAAACCTGGCACTTCATCTGGCAAAGACAAATCTTTCCAGATGCAAGATGCTGTTGGCTAGCAGGCTTACAGAGATGAAAAAAGCCCATTCCTCTTGCTGCCAGCCCAAGAGCATACGTGGTGCCCTTGTTTAAACAGACTTAAGCATATAAATTCAGTTTTGGTAAACTATCCAAAAAAGCTGCTTTTCCTTCCAATTTGTTTTATCCCAGAAATCCCCACAAATAATAATAATAAAAAAAAACTCATAAAGTTATTCTGTGTTTCTCAGTTGCGTCTGTTAAGCAAAACAAAATTTTTCCCTTCCCTTTGAGTACGTGCTAAGGTTACCATTTCTCCTGCTTCCAGCCTCAGTTTCCATTTTCTTTTCCTTTCTGCATTTTAACTCCTCTCTTTCTGCACCACACAAAGCTACCTGGCTAGGGAAGGCTGCAGCAGAACCCGTGAAGGAAGAACTACCACTAGTATCCGAGTGGCTGGCTTCTTGCTGATTCAGGAACAATTTGTACTCCATACTCAATAAGATTATTAATAATTCTGGACTCTTTCTAAGAATCAAGAAAGGAAAAGAATGAGGTGGCTGGGTCAAAGCAGGCAGAGTCCCTGTGTCCCAAAGGTAAAGGAAAGAGATAAGAGACTCTAAATCGCTAAATTTCAATTAATTATCTCTTTCTACTGGATATTGGTGCTACTGCCTGATAAGGTTTCAAGGAGAATAATCTGATGATCTGGGACTTTAAACTGAGTCCCTGTGTGGCTACTGAAAAAGCAATCAGATTACAAACAAGTAAAAAAGAGGTTAAAGGACTGAAGTTTAGGAGGACACAGTAGAAAAATGCACACAGAAAGGGGAGACGAGCACAACTTGCCAGACAGAATGGAGACCTGGCCACTGACATCAGGAGTACAGAGAATGAGCAAGAATTAACAGGCTTTCTACCACTACCAACTCCAATAACCTAAGAAGTATTCTTGGTTCAAACAGAGATAAGTTAGAAATATTTTCTTATTTACCTTGAATCTTACAAAGGAGAAAAATGCAGAGAAGTATCATAGCATATTTCATGTAAGAATTATTAGGTGCAGTTGCACGTCTCAACATACCTTGGATACTGTATCACCATAAACTAGCTAAAGAATCAAATGCAACTCTATTTGCCTGACATAGATTAGTGTTTTCTACAAATACATCATTACAACCAGAGATTTTTTTCTACGTTACTATACTTCAAAAAACAGATTTAAAAGTATTTGCTATGTAAATGATATTCTTTATGACACTGAACCTAGAGATCCCAACTCCAAGTGGCCTCATTACAGAAATGTTATTAACAAAACATGACATGACAGATTTATAGCAGCAGAAAAAAAACAACCCTATTTTCTGTATTTCATATAAGCAAAAAGGGTACAAATAGGAAAAACCAGAGCACAGATTGACTCCTGGAATGAAGCCACAATTAAAAACCTATTTAGCTGCTGCTAAATTATAATTAAATTCCTATAATTAAACTTACTCAAGGACTCAAAATAAATAGCCTGAATCCCAGTCAAGTCTTTTCCAAAACATCCTTCTTTTGTTGCTGTCAAATATGATAGGATTTTATTTCTGGTATCTTTAGAGTTTGATGCTGCTGTCAGTCATTTATAACCCATGGTCCCAAATGACTGCCTGCTATTTGTCCTAGAATCCAAAAGCAACATTAATAACTCAACACATATAAAAGGCCCTAAAGTGTCACTTAAGCAAAATTGGTTCTCAAAGCATTTTTTTAATATATAAGAAAGCATAAAACTTACTTTGGTATTGATGGTAAAGCTCTTTCACCTTCTGTGTGAACAAGAAGAAAACAGGATTAAAATGTTATGCAAGGTTCCAAAAAATTTTCTCTCAATGTGCAATATTTACATGCCTGAAACAATAAACAGCACAACCTCTTGGGGAACTATTTTGATTCAAAAGAGTATTATATATATATATATATATATATATAAATAAAAAGAGCATCAAATCAACACAACTCCTCATCAGTGATACAGACCTTCTAGTAAACTCCTCCCTGAGAGAACAAGACGTACAGAATATAAAAGTTTTATTCTTAACAAACACTGATAAATCACCTGTAGAAGGTATGACAGTATTTCATCTTCCTAGTAAGAAATGCTTTTTTCTTTTATCTCCATGATGTGCCAAGTGCTAACATATAAATAAAACAATTGGAGCAAACTTGGACTTCCAAAATAAGACAACTGAAATCAATAATTAAAACACACAACTTACACCGATTTTACATTTGGTTGTGATGATACAATAGCAATGCTCAGTAGCCAGGGATGAAGTGAGCACTTTGTAAACTATTTTTGAATTATTGCCAGTCCTTTGATACTGCTATTGTGTATACAAGCCTGGATGTACATAATCAAGCTTTTTTTCCCCCTGTTGGATCTGATGAGATTGGATTTCCCCACAATGATTTCACAGTATCCATGTGGGGAAGGATGCTGGGGCAGCTGTCTTTTATAAAACACCAGTGACTTAGAGCAGATTGAAGTACAAAGAAGAGGAAGTGAGCAATGAAAATGAGTATCACTCTCTAAATCACTGATAAAGTGACGTGAGAGAAAGTGGAAGAGCCACACTTCTAGGAAATTATGATACATCCTGATTGCAGCAAATCATGTAAATCCTAGGTTGTTCTTCTCCTAGGTTAACATTTCTGAAATTTGCACAGTAGACAAACACCCAATACACAGAAGCCAGGCTCAACACAGCAAACTACAGTACTTTGTTACAATTTTTTTCCTCTCTGAAGGTAGAAGAGCATTGCTTGGCTCACCAACTCAGGTGTGTTCTGATCTATCTGGTGCTGGGTGTTGAAAAGGAAGATGCAGGAAAGAAGGGAAACAAGAAACTGTGATTTGGAAGATGATGCAGAGCAGCTCAGCAAAGTGACCACAGCAAGCATCTGAAACTGAAGGGTGGCAAGATTATACAGGAAGCATGAGGGAGATAAAGATATTGTGATATGTTGGGGTAAATGGGACCCTTTGGGGAAGGAAACAAAAGGCAAAGATCCTGAGAGGGACTGTGGGGTGACAAGTATGAGTCCTGCCCTCTGCTATGCAGGCCTCCCTAGGGTTGTGAAGAACACTTAGAAGAACCTTAAATTCATAGAAACATGGAATTGTTTTGGTTGGAAAAGACCTTTAAGATCATCCAGTCCCACCATTAGCCTAACTCTACTACTATGTCTGGTGCTAAACCATGTCTCTAAGCATCCTGTGTTCTAGTTCACACCAAGTCATGCTGCTTCTGCTGGTTATTCCAACATGGCTCCTACACTTGCCAATGGACTTACTAGTTTAGATGTTGCTGATGAATCACACGTTACTGGTGAAACATTCTTGAAGCCTATTGTTTTCAAAAGTTGAGGAAGCTATACAAACATACAAACCTCTGTGTTAAAAGACCTTTTATTAAATTGCTAAGGTGACTCCATCACATTTTTAAATCAAGATAAGAGAGGCACAATTAATAAGCAACTATTAAAAAAATATTCCATGTTCTTCAATATTCCATCACATACAAACTGCACAGTATCCAAACTGTGTTCTAAAGATGGAATCTGAATTTCCTCTAGGGTTTTTTTGTGTGTGGAGTAAGTACATCAGTATCCTATCTGGGGACAGAAACATCAGTGTATTATTTAATAATACACTTGCAGGGCTACAATGCTTCATACATTCAAAGTACTGACCTCAGCTGCAGATCAGATTGTTTCTCCCTCCTGCAAATGCAGACTCCAACCTCTTAAGAAAGTGAGAAATACCACAGGTGGCAACTGCTACTGTATGCTGAGGTCAACTGCTACCTATCAAAAGGGATCTAAGAGAGATAAAGATAGAATCCAACTTTCCAGTGCAGTGTTCTATTTCCTTAACCATGAGATTCCCATTCTCATATTCCATAGTCTCTTAAATTCCTATCAGTGCAAAAAAATAAAAGCAAGGTCCACGATAAAACTTCTCTCTCACACCAAAATCCTGATTCCACCCTAACAGTAAAAGAATTCTATGCACGTTGTGATGTAAGGAGAATGTGAATAAAAGTGGCATCATGTAGCTAGTCGAGAAGTAGAAGTATGATACAGTTAATGGGTAGAGTGTTACAAAGGTGCAAGGAATTGAAGGCTGGAAAACAGTGAGAGGAGATGATGGTAATAGACAGAGAAAAGCAGACTCTGAGGCAAGTTAAAGGAAATATTTGTTTACAGATTTGTTGGAAAAGCAGGAAGCATGCACAGGTCCAACGTAAGTAAAACCCCATTATTTCCGATCATCTTAATTTTCACTGTCCCTTTCCAAATTCCATGAGGTCTGATTTTGTTCTCACTAGTAGCACAGCAAGGCACTGTCATGCACTGAAGAGAAGTGGGCCCTTGTCCTCTGGGTTGAGAGCAATGGGAGAAGTGGACAACACATACTCAGCCCTCAGGAGAAGAGGGAAGGAGCCCAAGGCTCTGAAGCCACAATCTAACATCTGGACAACAGGTCTGCTGGAGATAGGCACTAAGTGAAGGGCCTGATATGGACAGGGGAAACAGGAAAAGCATGCATGTTAAAAAAGGCAGTCAGAAATAAAAACATACTATTAAGTAGTATGAGATGCCTCCCCTTCCATTGGAGAAAATTCATGAAAAATCCATCCACATGGAACTACTGCTGAAATGGCAAATCAAAGCTGAGCTCAGAGATGCCTACACACTCTCTGGGTACAAACTGCTCACTTCAGGCAGTGCTTCCCAAGTTGGTGCTCAGCTGTTTACAGCTTATATCCCAAATAAAGCATGAAACATTCATTAGTACCCTTGCAGGTCTGAAGTCAAAATTCATTACTAACAGCATCCCAGTAAAAGCATATGTTGTTTTTTCACAAGTTGAAACCCACAGCATTTTGCCCACTTCTATATTCAATCACAAAAATGGGATATGCGTAATTGTATTGGGGTGTCCCTGCCCCAGGTGTTGTCAGGGGGGCTGCAGGGCCTCTGTGAGGAGAGGGGAAGGGGGGAAACAGGTTTCCCCAAGGGTCAAAGGTGGCAGAGGCAGAGGAGGAGGAAGCCAAGGAGGGAGCAGCAGCAGAGGGAGCCCGAGGGAGGAGGCAGGAGGTGCTGCAGCCCAGCCCTGGGGGAGAGGAGCTGGGAGGGACCCCAGGAAAAGGTGTGTGTGGGGAGGAAGGCTGGTCCCCACTCACCCCTTCAGGAAGGAGTCAAATTCATCAAAGTGATAATCCTAGTGGAAGAGTTAAAATACATGTTGCTAGCCTGTTAAAATTAAAATGGTGCTCACGGTTAATTTATGTGGAAAATCCCCTTGTTTTGGAGGACTTAATGGATTATTTTATTTCAGTATTTTGAAATTCAAAATTGTGAGTCTTCATTGAGCTGCAACACTTTTAGATTCAAAGGGAATACTTCATTGTAAAGGTGACTCCTGGTATAAAGGAATGACAATTAGATGAACAGTTTCAGTTGTTCAGGTGTTTTCCAAGTTTTGACTGTTTTGCAAAGCTTGTTTGAAGTGATTAATAGATACAAAATTCAGCCACTAGACTTAGAGAACAGGAAATCTTTTTGATGCATAGTGCAGTCAGCAAATAGCCACTTAATATGAGTTTGAATTTTTATCACTGTGCTCACTGACTGTAAGAATGAAGTGTTATAAAGGAAACACAATTAAGTTTAAAGTTTCCACATGGGTCTAAAGGGACCTGTATATCTAAATACGTATGAGAAATATAACAACCTGAATGGAAATATGCCAAACAACATCCAGGTCTTTAACATTACCAAGTTCTCTTACCAAATTAAGAGAAACTAGGTTATTAATGGATAGTGATACAGATAATGGCACAAAAGCACAGGTTCTTTTAGTAATCAAGACAGATAATTTACGAGGAGACTTGCAATCAACATGTAAATTTACAACAAAGAGTGGAGAAAACACATCTGTTGGATTGAGAGTTGTTACTTGATTTATTTCTGATGTGCCTTGTATAATCAAAGCTCACCGTGGGAGGGATCTGGATGTGCAGATTATGGTGGGGACAGCTCTTCTATGAAATGTTTAATTAACACAAGGAATATTGCTATGAACTTCAGCAAAAATAAACCTCAGACAAAAGAACTGCACTATTTATTTTAAGTGGAGGGATTCTCTCAATGTTTGCATAAAGAGGAGGGTTCCTAAAGTGCTATATAACATTCCTTTCACTCACATCACTGCTCATTTGCCCTGTGTTAAAATACAACAGTAAGAGTATCACACAAATAAACACACCCCATAAAATGCATGGATTTATTTTGCATTCATGCCTATCAGCAAACCACAGTGCAAAGCTCAGCTGTGCCTCATGCTGCACAACACAAGAAAATCAGAGATGGTGCCCCTGGCTGAGCTGAGCGAGTCCAGAATACAGAACAGCTGAATGGTAACCCGGTCAGGTCAGAGGAAGACAAGAATTAGAAAGAAAAAAGTTCAGAGTGGACCAGTTTTTATTGCCACCTACAGCAGCAGTAAGTCAGGCCTGCTGATCTTGGCATTTGTTTCTGCACATCATGGAACAAACCTAGAAGAGGACACAGTAAATCTTGCAGTTTTTAAGTGGGAGCTGCTCCCTTGCTAGAGCAAGAACAGCAGAGAGGGCAGAAGAGCTGGGTTTGGCTGGAGCACAATCGGTGCCACAACAGACAGCACTGGAAGCTTGCACACTGGGTGAGGACACATGGGATAAAGGCCCTGGCTGCCTGTGGTTGCTGTCGTGAATGACAGAGCTGGAAGGCATCAGGCAGTGGCATTTTATGGAGTTAAGAGCATTTATGAACAGGTAAGAAAAGGAATGTCTTTCTAGTAGCAGAGGAGCAAGCACTGGCAATGCAGACTGAACAGATTCAATTCCTGAAATACCACCAGTGGCAAAAGTGCTAAGAACTGGACATACTCTACCCGTGTGCCTCTAAAGCAAAGGCAGAGGACAGAGTCAGAGCTACCCATTAACTTAGTATGACTGAGACGTGGGGAGAGCACTGTGTTAAAATATGAAACAGTTTTAAGCTTTGGTTAATATAGCTAAGACTAAAGAACAGTTTTGGGAGCAAATAAGAAAGACTGTAACAAACCTCAAACCATCAATTTTCAGAAAGCAATCACTGGCATAAACTTGTGAAATTAAAATCTTGGTTTGTGACGCTTATTTTGTTTTTAGAACAATAAACTAGCATTATCACTGATGTGAGCTTATCCTTTTGGTGTTGAATTTCAGTGTCAACAGTTCAACATCACTGAGCTGTACACTAAGTTGGCTAGAGAGGCCAAGTTTACATTGAGGGAAGGTTTTCCTTTGTATGAAGGTTGCATGACTAACTCAAAACCAAAGCTGTTTGTGTTGAGCTAAAGGTCAAAAAACAAACAAGCAAAATTTAAGATTAATTTGAACAATTAATTAAGTGTTGTCAAAACACCTAACATCTACAATCACATTTCTTCATTACTGAATGACCAAGTTTCAGTGTTTTTCTTCCCCTCACATGCACAGGCAGGATACCATACACACACCTGAGGAAGACCTGAACTAGGTCAATAACATTACTCCATTTGAACACCTACAGACCAGGGAAAACCAGTGGCACAAAAAGCAAAACTGTGGATAAAAAGGGACTTAGGTTCAGACTGGACAAGCTTCTGGGATGGTTCATGTACTTTCTTGTATTACAAACAGGGAAGAAAGAAACAATTTATTCATTGTTCTAGAAACCAAAAAAGTTGGATTACTTTCCAGAAAGCTAGTACAAGAGGACAGAAATTTCCATTCATAAGCAGCTTTGCTTGGGTGTTTTCCAATAATTAAAGCTGGCTGACATTAGACATTCTAATGAAATTTAATTAAAATTCTCTTTTTAAAGCTAAGGTGTACCTGCACCCTTGTCCCACTGCTTCCAGCTTGTGCCTTGCTACAAAAACAAGATATCAACACTCAAAAATTCATCTCTGCTTTATTTCTGTCCTATGAGAAGGGCTCAAGAGACTTGCCTCAAAGTTTTTATTTTTTTAAACAGAGATGTTTTGAATATCTAGCAGGATGGCAGAAGTTTAAAAAACTTATCACTAGTCAGAACCTTGCCCAAACACATCCTAACCAACCTCTCTGAATTTTCCCTTGTATATTTAGAGAACTACATTTCAGAATATCATGACCTTGTTAGGAGTGCCTTTAATTACAACTTACATCTGCTAGTTAAGTGTAGAGTAATGTAAAACAGTGATTACTGAAAACCAGTCTATATTACCAGCCATTAAGCACAGAGTGACGTTTACTGTTAATGTAACAAAAATACCTCATGGTTCCTTCCGGAAAGACAAAAGCCTCCAAGTGAGGTTTCTGCTGGTACCTTTTCTCTTTTATTCAAATGCAAAATACTTTACATGAGTATGGCACCCACCAGAATGAAACATCACCTTACCTTTCTGTGGCCTGATAATAAAAGACTGTGTGGCTCCATTCACCAGTCGGCAGTATCCGTCTATCAAGTCCGCCATGTTCTCTGCAATGGTTAAGGATGGTGCTGTCACTGTCAGAGGCTAAAGGATGGAAAAAACAAGGCACCAACAAAGAGGTATTATTGTAGCTGCAAACACTGGCAGAACAGCTGTGTCATTGCATCAGAACTTGATACACACTTGCAGGCAGTAAACAGAAAAACGCGGGTGAGCAAAGAATCATCCGAATCGCGCTTTACCTTTTTGATAGCAAATTTAAAACACGAGTTTCAGAAAGCACAGCTGATAAATGTAATATTAATCTGGGCTTATTAAGTGGTTTGCTAGCTAAACTTCCAGTCAACCACTTTTGATTACAACTGCTATGACTTTTATGGCTGTAATTCTGACAATTCTGAAGAAGCTGCTTATCCCTTTCAATTCTTACAAGTGGTATCTTTTTTCCACCCTTTTGCAGCAATTTATTCTTTGCCCTAAAAAGTAACCTTCAACATTTCAAAAAAGATTAAAATTATTAAAAAGACAGACAGTGGAATAGCAGATGGGACATAAAGACAAGGTATTAATTTTAATACCACCAACATTCATCATTCTCTGAGCAGATCTGTCAACTTGGCTCTCAACCCTTCTTTACCAGTTTCCCCCAGTGCATTGGATCAAAGAAAAGAAAAATGTCACTTCCAACTCTGCCTCCATGTAGTATGAGGGAAGAAATTCTCCCTCTTTCATATTTCCCCTTTTCACAACAGTGAAATCATTCAGTTTCCACTTTAGGACACAGCATCATACACCTATCCAGGCTATTATGAAGTGGCACTTAAGAGCTAGTATTTTTAAATAAAGTTGCTTTTACAAATACCAAAGTATACAGGCATCAGATCCAAAACCTAAAACATGTAATTAGCTCTAAATCTATTCTAAAAACAAAAAAAACGGGGCTTTAAGCAACCTGATCTAGTGGGAGGTGTCCCTGCCCACACAGGGGTGTTCAATCTAGATGATCTTTAAGGTCCTTTCCAACCCAAACCATTCTATGAGTGGCATAATGATGACTGCTCACAGAACTTCCCTTTCCACTTATAGAACAAGAAAAATAAAACACCTGCAGAATGCCTGGAATGCAAAACGTTACAATATAATACACTGGCTTTAACTCCAGGAGGAGCAAGAGTATAGCACTAACTGAAATCTTTGCACACATACAGAGACAGGCAGTCCCTGCTTAAACTTGCACATGCCAAAGTGAAGTATACTTTTAGAATACCATAATCATGCTGACAGTGGACAAATCCAGAATCAAGTTAAGACCAGAAGCATCATATATAAGTTCATTAATAGTATACTACTCTTCACCTCTTCCCAGGAAAACTAAAGGTAGTACATTAATCATAACTGTCAATATCATACCTCAGGTGCACCTGCTATCTTGAGCTGCAACATCCCTTTTCTGTCCTTGTCTTCACTGTTTGAATACTGGATGGTTTGCACTTGGTTGAAGTCTGCTAGATGAGTTGGCTGCAGAAAGGCAATGGAAAAAGTGGGGACAATTTCAAAATGTCAGCAAAATACTTTGTCTTTATTCCTAACGTTGCAAAGGCACGTGTAGTATTTGATCTCCAAATTACGCTTGTAGGAGTCTGTTCGTCTTGTTTCTTTCTATCGTTTCCTAAGGCTTTGGCCAACTATGCAAATACCCACAGGATCTGCAAAATGCAGCCAGGCGCCCAATTTGCCTACAGAGGTCACTGTCGAGTAGCTCCAGGCACAGGCTGTGAAGTGCACAGTGGAAACAACAAGGTCAAGAGAGAAAACTCGACAGGTTAAGCACAGGGTATTTGCATTCACAGCATGCTTAACATACCTCCAGACTGCTGTACGAGGTATGTTCCTGTTCTCCAAACCTTTTCACTGCTTTTGAATTAATTCCAGTAGAAGCTGGACATGGGCTTAACTTAAGTCAGGATTGTGGAGGTTTCAAACATTTTGCTTGAACCACCTGTCTAAATGTAACTTCCTTGCACCATGGTGGTGTACAAGAAATACTGTAACAGTCAGCATCAGGTAATGAAAAGTCTATTAAAGATATGAAAGAAAGCAAATAATCCAGCAAAAAATACTAAACGCTAACTCACTAAACAAGCTCTTCATTTACACATTCCTAAAAGATTAAAAATTTAGAATAATTTTCATGTTTCATTGTTAAAAAGTCTCCACTAATGCTTTAGATTCTGCAAGTGAGTACTTCACTGGGTACAGGAGCCAATGAATTCAGTGCTAAAGCTGACACTGTCTCACTAGTTAACCCAACTGCATTTTCTCTGATCCCCAATCACAAATAAATGTCTGAGTAACAGGTGTATATGCTGAATTTCCCAGCTCTTCTGTGTTTAACACAAAGATGAGACTTGTCATTCCCCTTTATGTTAAGTTCAGTTCACAACAGGTCACAGTTGTGAAGAGATAAAGAAAACACAACTAGACTTACATTTGCACCCTTGTCCGTAAGGTAACTGATTCCTTCTTCTGGGCCAATTGCCAGTTCCACTGAAATAATCCAGCTTGACTTCAGAATCAAAGGAGAAAGACAGGGCAAAATTTCAATAGTAAAACAAGACCTTGCTATGAAACACTATCCTCCACTGTTACAATTACAGCTTCTAGTAATTAGTCTCTAGAAGCTTTTAAACTCTTCAAGCAAAATATATTAAGATCAAGTAGCAAAACTTCTCATGACTGATTTCCTGGGGATCTCTGCTACTCAAAATGTGCTTCCACGTGTTTCATCTTAGGTCTACATGAGACCTATATATTTCTTATATTTCCTCTTCTCACGGACACTGACGTTCACATTCTAATTTCTATTTGTCCATTTTCACAGACTTAAAGCCCTTTCTCAAAATTTATTTGAAATTGGGAGGATGTTAGAGGAAAATGTACAAACAGAAGCAGCTGAGAAATCTCACTTCCTCAGGAACCCAGGTTACAAACTGCTTGACTTTCACAAACAAAGCACCAATAAAAATATTCATTATTATACAGTTCTTACCCTAGTAATGAATGGTGCTTTTTTAACAGTCAACTGAGGAAGTGCTAAATAAAATTAATAAAATAGATTGTGTTGTTAATGAAAACCAAGTACTCGTCTCTACATCAAACCAGGAACTATGCAAGCAATTAGTTGCAGAACTAAGCAAAACCAATTAGATTCATAACTACAGCCTGTATGCTGGTGACTGGCACATGCCTCTACTTACACCAAGAGCACACTTGAAGCATTCCTTGTCAAATCTGTACACTGGAGAGAGGATCTCAAAGAATTTCAAAATACTTTCTTCTCTATTGAGGTTGGCAAACTGTCGAAATGTTTGTTGGATCAATTTTCGTAGTGTTTTAGCCTGTGTGTTAAAATGTTTAAAGATTATTTAAAATCTAATCAGTGACAATGGGTTTTAAGAGTTTCAGTCAGTACAGTTTCTTGATCAATGAAATGCAAACAATTCTCAAGTAAAAGAAACTTCAAATTATAAGCAACAGTTCTGCCTTCTAACTACCACTAGGAAACAAAATTATTTCTGATATATATTACAGTGTGAATATCTAACTAGTCTTGTTTTGAATAAAGCATAATAAAAGACAACATGCTAACCTTCGCAGGAACTATTTTTCTAGATTCCTCATTTCTCCCAACTTCTTAACTGTGTATAAATATAAAACCACAGCAACCTACACCACCATACTAGGTTTTAAACTTAAATCACCATTCTCTTATCCAGTAGAACAACACAACTGTAGCTGTATCTTAATCTCACACACTAACTTAGACTATCCATAACATAGTGGATTCTAAGTCTGACAATATGCAAAATAGCTTCCATAATAACAAAAAAAGCATTTAAAATTAAAACAAAAAGTTGAATTATACTATTTTAACTACATTGCATAAAATTTTATTAACTGTTTGCAGGGCACAAATAACCACTTAGAGCCCCATAAATCATCCTCCCAATATCTGGGATACTGAAAGAGAGCAAGACACGTTGTTACATACCCAGAAAAAGAAGAGACAGAGAATAGAAGCAGCTTTCAAACAAGTGCATTTAAAAAAAAATAAAAATAACTAAGCTAAGACATATGAAAAGTGAAGTATCTGCCTGTATATACTGCATAATCCCTGGGAAGCTGTCACTCTTATCATAATAAAAACAGAATCTGAGAAGCAATCTCTATAGCATGCCCCAAAACTGAACAAGCAACCAAGAATCCTGAATAAAAACATCTGTTTCTAAACACTACAATTCACCTGGACAGAAGTGCAGAACCTTCTTCCCATCTATCCCAATCATAAGGGTGCAGGTATGTTCTCTAAGTACTGTAGAGTCAGGTGACCCACTATTCTGTCATCCCTGTTCACATCAGGTAGTGCCAAAATGTCCAAACCACCAACATATCTATACTTTTTCCCTTTGCCTAAGCTTGACCGCTGTCTGTAGTGACTGAATGGGTTTTAAAAAAAACTTAGTAATACTCAATTCTAATATATCTTCCAATGAACAACGATAGAAAGCAAAAATCATGCTTATTTTTGCAGAATGTCAAGGTTAAGACAAGAATTGCCATTGTTCCTCTACCAAAACATATCTGAATGTCCTATTGTAACAGCATTAAAACTCTTCATTCTTTCACGTTGCCTGTAACAGCTCCAGGCACTACACAAATATAAACTTCCTTTTGTCCTCAGCACTTTCAGTCCATTCTGTAAGCGTGCAAAGAGCATTCAGAATAGTTACTTCAACAGCAGTGATCCAAGGGTTTTGCATATTCACACACCAATGATCAGTTTTGCAAGATGTATAGATGGGTTGGGGAAGCACCCTCAGCTAAGGCACATGGAATGAAGTTAGCCAAGGGATCTGCCATCCTGTTGGAATTTCAAACTGCTGTGTCACTTCAGCAGAACCTTTAACCCACAATCAGGTGGATGCTGCAGATACTTTGGTCGGATCAATCTGGCAGGCAGAGGACCTCCCTACTGCACCCAGAGCTGCCCTACTTTGTTAGGTCTCAGTCATACTACTCTGGACCTTTCATTATCTTCCTCTTTACACAGAAAACTGATGTGAAGGGAATTGAAGATCTCAGCCCTAACTGAACATCTCACAAATACAGGAGCCAAACACTACAATAGGGAAAAAAAATATCTGTTAGCTCAAATTGTTCCAAGTATTTCAGCCACTCAGTTGATGGAAAATACTTTATTCTGCCCATGGTTTGCTCTCCTGACCTGTTTTCACCATCATCTTGGCTTCCATGCATACTGGTATGCATTATTTGGCTCTTTTAAGTCCACAAGATGACTTATTATTCACTTTGAGATCCTTAATATGGTGTAAACACAGAAATCAGTTACAAAACGACACCTCATCCGTAACAGAAGTGAGCCATTCAAGAGAAATATCTTCAAATGACAACTTCAAGAGAAATGAACTGAAAATCTGCGCTTAAAATATTTCCTAAGAACAATTTTTCCCCCTCCTCTTTTCCTCAAGGCATGCTCTAGGGTGTAAGGGAAGACTTCTAACGTGCAAACTAAGCACAATCAGGCTTACAGTTATTTCCCCACATTCTCCTCACCCCAAAATTATTGGTTTAGTAAAAATAGATTTTTTTCCCCTCATGTCATTTGCATAGTTGATGTACCTACAGACAGAGAGCATGGCTCAGCAGATGTGCCAGCTTAGAAGCACCATTCCTAACTTGCTGAGCTAAATATAGGAAATTTTCTTACTTCTCTAGTGCAGTAATGAAAATGGAAGGCTTGTTGACCAGTAATTTCTCCTCTATACTCAGTTAGGCTGAGTTATTCTTTCTTGAACACAGATAAACAGAATTATTTCCAGCATATATGAGAGGTAGTACTTTGTCCAATGACTTCAGTGTTTCCCCCAGGAGAAACTTCCCTAGATGCTTCCTGGGACAGCACTGGCTCTCTTCTACAGTCCTGTGTCTTACAAACGCTCTGTGATAATATATCCTTTAAACTCCTTTAAAGGAAAATAAACCCTTTAAACTCCTGAGGGTTTTTTTTTTTTTAATCTATTTCATGAGCTCTCAAATAGAGCTGAATTTTCTGGTTTTCAATCTCTGTATAATCACCTCATACTATGCACTACCGTATATTTTTATTATCATTTTTCCAGCCTTCTGGTCTTCCCACATATGAAGTGATATTCTCTGTATAGCTGCATGTCCTCAACATACACCACCAACAATCCTGGTTACCATTGCACAACACTTCCAGCTTTACCTCACTAATAGAAAGAATTAATTGTATATTTCATGACCATCAGGAGCCTTCCTTTGCCTGCCAATTCAAAATCATTGCTCTTTACTAAGTTAAAGAGTCATTTAATAGTTTGAATGAATCCCAAATCATTTTAAATATAGACTTTATTGTCATTAAAACCAGACACATTATTCCTTCCCTTGTTTTTCCTCATCCAATGTCCAAAATTTTTATCATTACTTTGCTGGGTTCCACTCAGCTTCACCTCCTGGCAATTCTTGCTGCTTCTTTCTGCTCTCCTCTCCATTTCATGATTTCTAAAGAGCAGTTTTCTTTGTTGGTCAGTTTTCTGGCTCCATAATAGCATTTTTGAAGTAAGTTATTAATTCTTTTATGTCTGGAGCCTTTCACCACAATTTCTCCCTTTAGCAGAGACTACAGTTTCAGATAATTGCTTAAATTAAAATGCAGAGGGATTACTTAAATCCACTTGACTTCATTAGCTTCTCATTCTCAAAAGTCTTTTGAAACAAAACCCTTTCATGACAGACCTGTTTATCCATTTAAATCATAGTGTAGAATCTAAATCTGAATTTATATATGAAATTATATGAAATTATATTATTACTATAAAACCACTGCTGCTTACCAAATCCAGCTCTAAAATACCAATTTATTATTTATACTTTTATGCATGAATGGTAAGGGAGATTTTACCAAGATATTCATATCAAGAGAGCTATAGCTGTAAAAATACTTGGTGACCATTCCTAGCCTCCCTTTTTATAAACATGTAAAGAAAAATTTGCATATTTTTACTCTGGGAACATATGGACTTCAATGAAAGGGAGGTTCAACTAAGGGTTATAGTCTTAACTAGGATTAACAAGTGGAAATTACTGGAAATCTCCCTTGAATGAGTCAGAGAAAGCCTTGAGCAATGAAGGCAGAACATGGTTTATGACTTGCCACTAAAAACAGGCTGTTTTCTTACACGCCCCCTTCCTCCTTCTCCAAAAGTCTCATTTCTCTTTTAGAATAAAAAGAAAAAAATAGAGTTGTTGATACCAGAGGACCCCTTCTGAACTGTTGTTTGAGAGGCAGGGGTGTAATGCTCTCACAGTACTCAGCAAGGCCCTGGAAATCATTTCTATCCTAGTTCTCCCAGTTGCACACCTGTACTGTGAGGATTTCTATCCTACTAAGCTGACAGACAGCTGTGGTGTGTTTTCACCAAGACAGCACAGCAACTCCCTTATGACTACACAGTGAGAATGAGAATGCAATTTTCAGATTTCTAACATTTTTTTTCAAGTAGTATAGAATTGACTGGATCTATAATTACCTTCACTGAATCTAGTAAACTCTTCGGGAAAAAACGCCTTAAACCAACATCTTTCCTGAAACAAAAACACAAGATGCATGAATATAAAAAACCACGTGCAGTATCATATTGCTCTTTTTCAGGCTGATGTTTTGGATTTGTTTTCTGTTTGTTTTTTTTTAGCTAACACGTGCAAGGTAGTAAATTATTTTCATAGTAAGGTCCCTGACAATCTCAGAGTAACAAACACACCATCATTAAAATGCCAACCACGGCCACTCTGCAGCGAATGTGAGACAGCAGCATCTTCTGGTTTAAACTCAAAAGGGTATCACATTCACAACAAGTACCTGGTGTGGAAAGTGTCTTCTTCGAAATGCTGGCTTAAGCACAAAGAAGTTTTGAGAATAAAACCTGTTCTTTGTACATATTTTAATAATTTAAATATTGAAAAATATTCTTACAGTAGGTGGTCAGCTGAGAAGGAAACAACACAAAAATGGCAAATTCTAATAAATGTCTTTAGAGCTGAACAGGAGATACAATACAAAGGACTTCTGATGATATCACCTGTTCCACTGCTGCTGCTTTACCCTTTGCACACTATCATATTTTTTGTAATTTCTACAGCCAGTGTTCCCTCCTGCTGAGCATCTAATGTTAAAATTCCCAGCTTTTTATTGCAAGTCATCTCTTTTTGCATCTGTAAAATCAGGATCTCAATTCTTTCTGTGGGCCCAGTTTTTGCAAACTGAATTACATCCAGCTCACTTTCACACTTACAAATAGGGCTGCAGCCTGGAAGAAACGTGGAGCTATAAGGATTAAATATTTGTTGTGGCTCAGATGTGCTGCACCTGCATTACCTCTGATGCGTGTATCTATCACTACAGCTCAATCCTGGCTTGAAGAAAGATGCCTAAGAATTTGCCTGAGATGTGTCTGTGCAGAAGTAGATCATTATATAATCAGGTTTATCAAACAATGCAGAACCATGAAGCAGTTGTACAGTATTAGCAGAAAATTTGCAGGAGAACTAGGAAAAGGACTGAGATCTTTGCTTCTCAAAGGTGTGACTGACTTGTATTCCTTTACATTCAAGAGCTTATAATAATTTTTCAAGAAGCATCCTTATCTCCTTCTGAAATGGGCATGAAAGAAAGCTTTCCATGACTGGATGCTTTGAACATAAAACAGAAATACATCTGGAATTCTTACATTTGGCAAAGAAAAGGAATGCTGTTAGCAATCCTGAGATACACAGTATATATTTACTGCTGCCTAACAGAGCAAGAAGAAAGTCAACATTGAAGTTAACATAAAAATCTTAGTGAAAATAACAAAACAGGCTATTTTTTCAAGCTCTCCAAAGACAATAGTATACAATTTCACAAGACATACTAAAAACATCCTCTACTAAGAGGAGCAAAACGTTCTTGTGCAGCAGAGAACACTGGCAGCTGTGCAGTGACAGTAAGCTGAAAGGTTATAAAACTTTCATAAATGTTAATTCCTTTGATGCACTTCTCAAAATGCAAATTATATGCAGTTCATCATCCCACACAGTTAAATAAATCCAACACACTATTACCATCCAAATAACATGCAAAGACATTTTGACAAGGAATATATTAGTTTAACATTAAGCATTTGAGAGGGAAATGGTGTTTTAAAAAATGAAGCACCGTGTATCACTCCAGTATTACTCATCTCAGCAGTACTGCAGCACATGCTGCAACTATTTGATTTGTTATTAAAGAGAAGCCTTTTGTACAGCTCTGCATGCAACAAATCATACAACCATGGGACAGTTTGGGTTGGAAGGGACCTTCAAGATCATCCAGTTCCAATCCCCCTGCAATGAGCAGGGACACCTCCCACTAGACCAGGTTGCTCAGAGCCCCATCCAACCTGCCCTTGAACACTTCCAGGGAGGGGGGAGAAAGGATTCAGAAGAATTCAGAAGAAATTCTTATGCAGAGAACAACAAAACACACTTCAACATAAAAATTGTTAATAAAGCATTTCTTGTGTTTGACTGAGATGCTAAATTTATTACTGGAGGGTAATTTAATATCAGCATAATAATTTAATGCCATGGTACCCATAAATATATATTATATATATATGCCATGGTATTCATAAATATGGAGGTACCCATAAATAAGAGAATAAGGATTGGAAATGGGAGCATACACAGAGTTTTAAACACACAACCCTACCCAACTCCTTCCCTTCCATCCTCAGCTGTACTGTGTGTGGGTAAAAAGCCAATTTGGGATACACACCAACTCAGTCCTCCAGATTAACAACTCAGACATCTGTTTTCTGATTGCCAGCAAGAGAAAATTAGTAGCAGGATCCTGGCTCATACAGTTCTACTACAGCTTTGTATTTAACCTCATCTGCTCCATCCTACTTGTGAGCTTAAATGTAAATTTAGGTTTTTTCTGTATACACTTCAATAGGATTAATAAAATACCAACTACAGACAGAGGATACTGTTTGTCATACAATGATAAGCAGCTTTAGGCAACATATATTTTTATTCCTATTTTTCATCTCACTTGAAGTTACAACAAAAAAGTAACGTTAGATTAACATAATAAACTTCAACGTGCTTTTTACTAAATTGTGGCTGCAGCTGTTCCTCCATATAGCTCCCATTTCTGCACTTGTAATTATCCCTGTTCTATGCTAACAAGCTTCACATTTATTATGAAAAAAATCTTCTTTCATTATATGAAGGCCCAACCATTAAAGGCTACTTAACAGTTTGATTCTATCTACTATTTCCCATCCAGATTTGGTCTTGTATGAAAATCAAAGACGAATCTACATCAAATAGACATTTGACAAAGACAGGCAAGAAGCAATCACACCAAATGCAAAAAAGCACCATTTAAAAATTGCACTCAGCTGGTTAAGTGCCTCATGATGTCCTAAAACTGGCAAAAAAAACCCCAACCCCAAACAAACAAAAAGCCTCACTTGAGAATTAAATATTACTTGTGTAGATAAGCCTTTGCAGGCTATTAAGGTGGTAAGACTGAAGGAGTATACTCTGGGGATCTGTGGCTCTTTCTGCTGACTTCTACTAGCTTATAATTATCTATAGCCACTTTAAGGTTCTTTCATCCTTCATCTCTCCTGTCTGAACCCCACAGAAAAGACATTTTACTTCTTAAAAAAAATTTTAAAAAAACCCTTGAAGTGCACAACTGTGCATTTCCAGTTTTGCATTACATTATTAATTAGAATCATGGAATCACAGAAACTTAGGGGTTGGAGGGGACCTGGAAAGATCATCCAGTCCAAGCCCCTGCCAGAGCAGGATCACCCAGAGCACATCACACAGGGACATGTCCAGGCAGGTTTGGAATGTCTACAGTGAAGGAGACTCCACAACCTCTCTGGGCAGCCTGTCCCAGGGCTCTGTCACTCTCACAGGAAATAAGGTTTTTCTGATGTTTACATGGAAAATTGCTATCCTCCAGTCCTCAGGCACCTCTCCTGTTGCCCATGAGTTACCAAAGATGATGAAGAGTGGCCGAGCAATGACCTCCACCAGCTCCCTCAGCACCCGCAGGTTCATTCCATCCAGACCCACAGATTTATGGATGTCCAGATTGCTTAACTGATCCCTAACCCAATCCTCATCTACCAAAGCAAACTCCTCCTTCATTCTGACTTCTTCTGGGGCTTTAGGGATCTGGGGCTCCGGGGGAGAGTCTGCAGCAGACAGAGGCAAAGAAGGCATCAGTCCCTCTGCCTTCTTTATATCCTCTGTCACCAGGGCACCCACCTCATTCAGCAGGGGGCCTGTACTGCCTCTAGCGTTAGTTCTATCTACAATGCCAGCACGCCTGATGTCCTGGAAATCAAATCATTCAGGAGTTTTGTCCCCTACCCTCTTCAAGTCTAGTTTAAAGCTCTCTCAATGAGCCCTGCTAACTCCTGGCCAAGAATCCTTTTCCCCCTTGCTGACAGCTCTATGCCATTGTTTGCTAACATACCTGGTGCCCTGTAACCATCTCCATGACCGAAAAACCCAGAGTTCATCCGACAGCACCAGCCTCTAAGCCACACATTAACCAGTTGTGTTTACCTAGTTCTTTCAGCTTTTCTGCCACTGAAGGAACCGAAGAAAAGACCATCTGTGCTCCTGATCCCACAAGCATCCAGTCTAGTTCTCTGAAACCCCCTTCCATTGCCCTGGGACTTGCCTTGGCAACCTCACCAGTGCCCACCTGCCTGAGCACTAGCGGGTATGACCAGAGGGCTGCCCCAGGCCTAGGAGTTTCTGGGTGACACCAGCAGAGCTCCCTAAGGGTTGGGTCTGTCATGTAGGGCCCTGAGGTCCCCTCCAAAGACCATCTCCTACAACAATGACCTTCCTTTTGTTCTTAGCAGAGGCAGCCCTGATGCATGGGGCAGACTGCCTTGGCAACTCCCTGGGCTGAACTTGGTCAGGAACCTCAGTTACCTGACTTTCCTGACCCAGGGCCATACACCTGTTCTGCAGGGGCACACGTGGAGGTAAGGGAAGCCAGGAGCAGGTCTGCCTGTTGACTCAAGCAGGTACCTGTTTCCAGTTCCTCTCTTCTCTCAGGTCCCCTACTTCTGTCAGGTGACAGGAGGGCAGAGGATCCTCTACTTCAGGTGAAGCCTCCAACCTTAAGGTTTTGTCTCAAGGATGGTAGGGTATTACTCCACCAATCTACTTCTCTTTCACACTCTCAGATATTCTAATCTTTCCACCTCCTCTTTCAGCTCACCCACTGGGATGAGTAAATCATTCACCTGGTCACAGCCTACCCAGGTGTTCTCTCTAGTCTCCTCCCATAAGATTGCCAGGCATTCATTGCAGCCAGAGACCTGGACAGCTCCATTCTTGAGAAGCACCTCTGTCTGGGTTGCCACTGTCCTCCTGGCAATGGTTTTTGCCCAAGTGGATGCCATGGCTAGGTCCTCTTCGGGGATGATCACTAGCCAAATTCTTACCTTGAGCCAAGAGGGGACCTGTGCCCTGTGAGAACTGCTGCACAGGGACAGGGGCTGGGACTGACTCACTCCCTCTCCCTGTTTCTTTCTCTCTCTCCTCTTCCTCGGTTTTCCCGAGGTTTTCCCTGTAGTTTAGCCTCTGCAGGGCTCCACCAGCACCATCCCTCACGAGAGGGGACCTGTGCCCTGTGAGAACTGCTGCACAGGGACAGGGGCTGGGACTGACTCACTGCCACTCTCCCTGTTTCTTTCTCTCTCTCCTTCTCTTCCTCAGTTTTCCCAAGGTTTTCCCTGCAGTTTAGCCTCTGCAGCAGGGCTCCACCAGCACCATCCCTCACACTGCTGTTGAGTGATGCTGTCTGGTTAAGCCTGAGTCTGGTGTTAAGCAGTTAAGATTTTGCATATCAGGGTTTTGCTTCACTCTGTCTTTACCAGCACCATTAGTTATTTCCTACCAAAGCAGCTACTGGAAGAAAAAAGTCATTGTTAAATCTCAAGCAGCCCCATCCTGAGTCCCTCAGGAACTCTCACCTGCTACAATTATTATTTAATACTTTGACATCTGTTATGACCCTTGATTACTTTGTCTCACTGTTAAGCTAATTACTAATGTCTGTAACTTATGAGCTGCTGACTTAAAAATACCTTTCCGAAGTTTTTGCTGAAACACACAAAAATTTCAACCCCTGTAACTCACAAGCTCCCTTTTCCCAGAAAGGATGACCTGGGATCAGGATTTCTCCAGGTCACAGTACTTTCACATCTCAGTTACCACCTTTTAGCTTTCCCTACCTATTCATCTTGTTTACCTTTTCTCATTTTATTATACCCTCAACCAGGGTATTTCTACCAGTAGCTACTGACAAAAAAACTAAAGTCCTTTGAAAAAAACTAATTCAAACAAAAAGCTTTGAAAATTCTGCAGAGGAGCACTATATACATAGCAGGCACTATATAAATAAGAAAGCAATTCATTAAAGTTATCTTTACCTACTAATACAGTTTCCTCAAAAATCCTTGTAATTTATTCATTGTGATGAAAAATCTTATCTTTCACCTCTACATTCTCTAATTTCACACCTCTAGAAGTGTGTACACAGGTCTTATTAAAAAAAATAATTAAAACTGACTTCACTGCTACATTAACCTCTTAATCAGATTTTATATTAAGACTGTACAGTATCTTTTCATAAAGATAATTAGTAATGAAAGGCAGATAACTGGCCTATGAATGTATGACACATTATTCCACTAGATCAATAGAAATAAAACCATTTTTTAAGCTCTGAGGCTTCTAAAGGGCTTTGGATTGTTTAGATTGAAGCAATCTACTGTACAACTTAGATTAAGTAACCAAAATACTTTCAGTATGAGGATGCTCCTTGGTCTTCTTAAAATTTGTGCTACATAGATAAATAATAAACTTGCTAATTACAAGGTCACAACTCAGGAAATCCACATTATGAGCAAACAGAAGAAAAAACAATACCACAAATGTTTTCAAGTAACTCAGACTTTACCACAGATGAGCCCCAGCTATGCAGAGAAAACCATTTCAAAACAAATTCACCTTAGAATAGACTTGATGACCCCATAAATATTAGGATTTTATTATTTTTTTTTTAAATAGTAATAAACCTCCTGATTAACTTTAAACAACTCCAACACTGTTTCTCTGGACCCTCTAGAGTTAAAGGTGCTCTCCCTATCTCTATACCTTGATAGGTTGCATCATCCTTTTCTGATATTAAAGCACTCCAAGATCTCAACAAACTTGATGGGAAAAACAAAACTACAAGAGAAATGTTCTGTTATTGAACTGAATTTCATATTCCTGGTTAAGAAACCATCCAAACCTCCAGCTATAACACAATACTTACTCTAACACTTCATAGTTGGACTTCTTTTCTAATGCATTGCCTCTCATCTCTCCGTAGGATCTCCTGAAGTCAGGAAAAACATTTGAAAGTGACAGTTATTGGATGATCCAGCCTTAAATGATGACATCAACACAGTCAAATCTTTCAGAGACTTACCATTAGAAGACGCTGGTAGAATGAAATCAGATGTAAGTATTAATACATTAATCGCCTACTTCAACAAACTGGACTTTTATTTTACCAAAAAATGCCATGTATTGAACATTACATTGAACATTCCTGCATTTTCAGCACTGCACTTCAAACTCCCCTCAACTACACTGCTACCCAAAGAAGTGATCTCAGCTGCCCTTCAGCAGCTCCTTCCTACAGCATCTCCCTCCTCTGTAGCAGCGCTCGTGGCTGCACAAATAACAGGGAGAGACAGAGCAAGAAGGAAATGATGAGAACCAATGGATTCCATCCAGACATATCCACATTAAAAAAAAATCAACTGATAAATAAAACAAGAATTAGTAGCTCTTGCTGGGAAAAGGCTAGGATCACTGCTTCCACTGAGAAAGTGGACTAGTAATACTTATGGCAAGACAGCCTTAGTAGTTATGAAATATCTCATGAAAATGCCCTGAAAGCCATGCCCTGAGAACCATGGAAAGCAGGACTTCACTGGCAAAGCAGTCATGCATTTTTATACTCATCTCATAGTTTTAAATACAATTTTTTTTGGTAAGGAGTTTGAAGTTACAAAAATAATAGTTTTTTTTTTCTCTGGGGCTACCAGCAAAACTTACAGCAGAGACACCAGGTTCTCATGTGATACTATGATACACCAGGAATCTCCTATGATATGAAATTGGGCAATTTCGGAACCCTAAATTTGGTTTTATTTTGGAAAGTACTGTTTGAAGGACACTTTTCTTCTCTGATAACATATTTGCCATTCATTTCTTCTCAATTTTACTTCTTCCCTAATCTCCCTGTTTGAGGCAACAGTGAGACAAAAGCAAATGCTGCAAGACTGGGAATTCTCCATAAATTAGCCAAAAAACCCACCCAAACCATGCACTTCAAAAGCTGTGCTGGGAACTCTCTCAAGGATCTCTTAACCTGATAAATTTATCTTTATTTTCCAGCTGTCTATACAGTTGACAAGAACACCAAAACCACCCAGAAGAATTCGTAAGATTTAATCAATGAAAAGAGCACAGCAAAAATGGGAGTAAATGCAGAGATAAAAGGTAGCAGCATTTATCTTTAATTACATTCATTAGCTGTAGGATTTATATATGCACAATGACAAGATTATTTGCTAAATAACACCACAGATGCTGGGTTTTTAAAGTATACTTCACTGTACTCTACAGGCCTTTGAATTATTCAGATGAAGAACTCCCCCAAAAGGCAGTATCAAGACATAATAAATTATTTTTTTAAAATTAATATTAATTTAAAAACAACTAGAAATTAGTTACAATGGAGTCTATTCAGTTTTTCTTCAAACTACTTAGCAGCAAAAAATACCCTTATGTTTTATTCAGCTCTGCTGGTCAGAAATCGATGAACTGTAAGCAGTTTCAGAATTAATGTGTATATTCTGTCAGAAAGATGTTGAATAATAAATGAAATTATCAGCTTACCGGATTTCAAGGCAACCTAGTTTCAAAGCAATTTCCTGGTCCACTTGATCTGCTATTTCTAACATATAGTCATTTTTCACCTACAGCAAAAGAAGTAGGTATGCATCACAGAAAGTTCAGTTCAGTGCCAACACAGACTAAAATACTGCCCAAAACACTTCAGAATAAATGCATCAAGTTTAATTTTTTTTAAACTACTATTTTCTGTGCATGAGGAGAAAAAAGAAGTTATGGTCACCTTCTCCACAAATGAGCTGCACTTCTGTAAGAGACCCATTCTGACTGCAGTGAATTTTTTTGATAAGAAAATAATCCTTTTCTACATGAATATTACGTATGTTTTATTAAATATAATCTAAATCCTCCCAGTAGGCTGAGAAGATGGTCAAGACATGTGAAATGATGCTGGATTCATGAAGCACCTTGGTCAGTAGTTTTAAATTTTTAATCTAATCCTGGACATAAACCAGATATAAGTCTGTGCATTACTGTGAAAATAAAATCAGCAGTAAGTAACATGAGTAGTAAGTGAAAATCATACAATATATTGACTTAAATTTGTGCTTGAATGAGCAAGAAGACATAACATAACAACAGTGTAACTAGATGGTTACCATCTACTGCTGGAAATAAAACAGGCCAGGGAGTGTGCTCTGACCCTGAAGCCAAACACTATGGCCAAATAAATAAATGGTTATCCCTGCTGAAGGGGTTGGGACAAAACAGTGTGTTTAGAGCACTGCTGGCATGGAGCAGCCCCCAGCTGTGCTTGGGCACACTAGAGGAGTGTCAAAGTGGTACATGGAGCAAAAGATGCACCACAGAGCACGTGAGGTGTGCAACAAGATGGGACTATGAGGGTGTCAAAGGTTCATCACCTGTCTTGGACTTGTTTTATTTACTAAGATGGATGCAAGCAGAAAGCCTATTTTTCAGGCAACACTTTCACCACACTAGAGTAAGGCATTTATACAGCTATTAACAAGAAAGACAGATAATAATAGAGCAGAACTAGTGCAAAAGAACTTTACTCTGCAAATCCTGTCTTCTATGCAACAGGCTTTTCTCACCAGTAACCTATCTCTGCAGTAGTGAAACTTCTAACAGCTCACTTGAGGCTCTATCTTAGGAAATCATAACTTGTCACTGAGATCCTAAAGCCTCTTGCTGCAGAAAGCCCTGAAACAGCACAAAAATCCATGACTTAGTTGTACACCAAAAAGAAGATTATATATCATGGGAGAACCACTCTTCACAAAATGCTTTTTGAGTGATGACAAGTTGTGAAGAAAACTATTTCAAACTACTACTGCTGTGAAATTAATAATTTAAAAGATGGAGAAGTACAGCAACAGATTCAACAGCTGGAGGTCCTGTTCAGTCAGCATCCTTCCAGAAAAACATCAGCATGCACCACAGCATTCCCTACCACCAGTGCTATGAGCAGAGACACCTCCCACCAGACCAGGCTGCACAAGCTTCATCCAACCTGCCCTTGAACACCTCCAGGGATGGGGCTTCCACAACCTCCCTGGGCAACCTGTTCCAGTGCCTTCCTACCCTCATGGGGAAGAATTTCTTCCTGATGTCTAACCTAAATCTCCCCTCTTCCAGTTTAAAACCATTCCCCCTTGTCCTGTCTCTGCCCTCTCGGGTGAAAAGCCACTCCCCAGCTTTCCTGTAGCCCCTTCAGGCACTGGAAGGTGCTCTAAGGTCTCCCTGGAGCCTTCTCTTCTCCAGGCTGAACAAACCCAAGTCTCCCAGTCTGTCTCCAGAGCAGAGCTACTCCAGCCTTCTGATCATCTTGGTGGCCCCTCTCTGGACCCTCTCCAACAGCTCCATGTCTTTCCTGTGACTTTCCAGCTTCCTGCATTTCGACTCATCCAGGCACTCAACATGTTGACAAAAACATAAGCTCTTAACTCTTCTCAATTCAACTCCCATAAATACAAGAGACAGGAAAAGCAACAATTGTCCTTCAGGTCCTGTAGTTCAAAATTTGTACCCATGCATGGAAATAGTAACTGTATTCCCATGATAGTACTATACAAATTAAACTATGTAGACTTAATTATATTTTTTTTCATTATGCTTTAAATTAGAAAACCTGGCTTTTCATTTGAAACAGCATCTTTTAGTTTTTCTGGTAACATTTACAAAAATATATCTGATTAAAGGTTTTAAAAAAAAGTCCCCCAAAGCCACAGACTCTATATATCTGGTAATTACAATGGCTGTAAATGACATAAAAAAAAGAGAAGCATCTTCCTGGAAGTCAGGATGTTTTGATACTTTATTTTCAATCAAAATCATGAAAGTCCCTAAGTGCAGAGTCCATTGTGTTAGCCAAGTAAACAGTCACTGCTCTAATGGAACAAACATCTTCTAATTTATGAAATCATTTACAAACTAACCTATATAAATTAGAAAGAACCGTGAGTTATACAACCACAGATATTATGTGTATCTAGAGTATTTATCATATTCCTCTATTTAGTTTTATGGCAGATAAATTCCATCCCTCTGAAAGACTCAGCAAAGCACATATGTTTTCTGCAGGGGTAATTTAAGGTTCTGTTCTTCAGCATCTGGTGTAAAACTACCTTGTGTTATGAAGTGACTGAAAAGTTCTACCACCTGGAGCAAAGGCCACCTATCCAGGACCACATCCAGAGAGCTGATGAGCATCTCCACAATGGTGGCTCCACAGCCTTCCTGGGAAACCTGCGCCAGTGCTTGGTATCCTTTCAGGTAAAAGGTTTCCTGATATTCAGGAGGACCTCATTCTGTTTCAATTTATGTCCATTGCCTCTGGTCCTGTCACTGGGCTCCACTGGCTCAGTCTTCTTCACACTCTCCCTTTCAAATATTTACATGCATTGCTAAGATTGTCCTGAGCCTCTAGAAATTTCCAAGAAAATTGGAAAATGAGAAGTTTGGGCATTTTTGACCAGTCTGTGCTACTTAGTATCAGCAAGTGCCAAAATGAGCAGATGTCTCCCTGGAAAGGACACTTCTGGAAACATGACAAAAGATGCAGAGATTCTGAGTAGCATTTTATCTCAACCAGTATCCATTTATGATTATTCTTAATTCTACTGCATAACTGCACCTGTCAGTAATACCACAGCATTTCCCCAAGAACTCATCTTCCACAACCACAGTTTTGTTTAAATCAGAACTAGCACCTAGATGCCTGAAGAAATGGCACAACATTACATCTTAAACAGAAAATTAAACTAGAACTTCTGTTCATCAGTAGGAATCTGAAACTGTCTTGCATTAGCCTGTCAGTCCCAAGCTCAGAGAATTTAAATCAGGAATATAGTTTTCAGGTTCATGTTACTCCCACAAATGACCTCTGCAGTCCCCATAGGGGGCAAACAACACAACAGAACTCCTTGTCCCCTGAGGGGATATTTGAAAAGTAAGAAACAAACTGAACATGCAAATTCTACATGAGTTCAAATCTTATCTGGATATTCACATTCCAGAAATATATCAACTTAAAAGAAACTATAATAAAATCACTTCCTTGTTTCAATCATCCATACTGAGGTTTAATTAATTTTAATTGTACTTTAAATACAAGCTTTCATTTCAATCTCCTACCCTTTTCTGAGAGTTCACCTTCACGTGTAGGTTGTTACTTCACCTAAAAAACTAACACACCTGCTCACAGAATCCATCAGCTAGCTTGCCTCACAGCCACCCAAAGCAAACATTCATTGGCTAGATCACTTATATGTAATTAAACTGTCTTTTTTTTTTTTTTTAAACCCCGCATTCCATTTTTTGAACGATTTCAACAATTTGCTTCACCAGGAAATTTCAGAGCTCTTCTCCACCTTTTCCTTCAGGCATTCAGACCCTTGAGAAGAACTGGTTGTAGAGCAAAGGATTTTTTCAGTCTTGGCATAGAAAACTTCCCCTTGCAGGAACTATGCTAATTTAAGGCTACAACTGTATCATGATTGAATTTGTATTCATTTATCTTCACAGCTCATTGCCTTGTAGATCCCACTACTGAAGTACTTTATTTGTTAAACTAAACAGCTTAAGAACATCTTCAGTTTCATGCAAATATATTTAAAAATGCTGCTAGCCTCAAGTAACTGCTACTCCATAAATAAATAAGTAACATTACCCAAACATTTAAAGTTTGGAGTTTCTTTCCTCTTGCCCTCTGGCTTGCGAGCTTTCACAAATTCCAGTCATGCTTTCCCAGTTTGACTCAGCAGCTACTGGCACCAGAACTCGAACAAGAAAATTTTTAAGCCCCTCCTGATCTCAACAGTTTGGAAGAAAAAATAATAATTGTGAAAATTCTCAGCTTATTTGCCAGATAAAAGTGAAACATTTCACCCCAATGCTGCAATGCAGTTGCCTACTCAAGTGCAGCTTTGCTAGTGTGACAAGTAGAAAAAAGGGAGGGGATTTTTTGCACATCACAGACCAGAAGAGATGGACAAACACAAATACTTCGTAAAGGTGGAGTAAGTTACATATATTCCTTCCACCTCACATTTCAGCTAACAGAGACTCTCTCTCCTCTGCTGCTCTATTGTGGGGGTGTTTGTGCTTCTGAAGTTCCTTGGTACAGGTGCCATGATGCAGTTTCACGTCTTTCAAATTCACTGTATTCTTTGACCTGAAAAGAGGGGTAAAAATGCCTTCACCTGCCTAGTATTGAATATATATTATATACACTTCTTTATTTATATATTATTGATTTGATATTGGAATGGACTGCCTAGGGAGTCACCATCCATGGATATGTTCAGGAAAAGAACGGATGTGGCACTTAGTGCCATGGTCTAGCTGATGTGGTAGTGTCAGGTCATAGGTTAGACTTGATCTCAGAGGTCTTTTCTAGCCTCAATAATTCCATGATCCTGTGATTTCTGTGCTCAAAACCTGGAAGGCATGCAAAGAGATTATAAACTTCAGGAAGCCTACAGCCATAATCGTGTGGTCTAATTTGATTGACCAGTATCCAATTATGGATAGCAAAGGTAATAAATTGATGGAAGGCATTAATTTTATCTTGCTTTTTTAAAAAAACCTGTCCATACACATT